TGGCAGCAGTGGCGCAGACATTCGGGGCCTGTATGTGACGCCCTGGTTCCCTCCTCCTGTGTGACCTCCCAGCAGGCTGAGTCATAGCCCCCTTTTTAGCCCCAAGCCCCTCCCCATAGCAGTGGGACCCATGTTCCCTTCTCACCCTCCACACACTCAGTGAGGGACAGCGGTCTATTGTCCCCTCCACAGATGAGGACACTTGGGGTGTTCTAAGAACTGGTCCAAGATAATCCACAGGGTACCAGCCTCACCCAGGCCTGTACCCAGGCCACGACCTGAGGTGTCACCTCCCTACACTACGTGAGCCTAACCTTAGGCCAGACGCACAATGCAGATGTAACCACGGAATGAGCTTGGAGAGGAGGAGAAAGCGGAAAGGCATTGTGTGCCGCAGTCCTGTGCCTGGGTTAGAAGGTGGAGTTTGCACCTTTCCCTGGGAGAGCTGCGGAGAGAGCAGGGGAGTGGACAGAGGCTATGGTGGTGACCCGCCCAGCTTGTCATCGTCCCCAGGAGGCACTAGGCTTTGCAGAAATCAGGCTTTGGCTGAGCTCTTCCGTGCCGGGTACTTGTCTCCTGCACTGGGGAGGTCTGCGTCTGCACACCTGCACATGGGACATCTGTCCCCAGGGCACAGCTGCAGATAGGGGCTGGCATGTCATGGGAGTCGGCTACGGCCACCCCTGGCCTGTGGAGCCATCTTGACATTGTCAGCATCTGGTTGGCTGGGTCACTGTGAGTCACTGAACCAGCTGCACAGAGCCAGCTGGCCACGCCCTGGTCTAACAACCCAGGGACGGCCTTGGCCCTGTCCTGCCTCCTCTGGCTGCAGGGAGCTGAGCTCTGCGGGTAGGGGCTCCCTGGTCCTGCACCAAGGACTGAGGAACAGTTCAGCAGCAGAAGCGGAACTGAGCGCACTGCCCTTTCTGCTGGTCACGTAGCAGACAGAGCTGCAGCGGGCTTTTGTAGGCTGTCATCTGAATCTGAGAGGGTTAAGTTCTGGATTAGGGTTCATTTGGCTGCTTATCGTCCTGCTTTCAGAGCTTGGTGTCAGGGAGTGGCCGTGGTGCTGGATGCCACCCACTCCCCCAGGTAAGAGCTGCTGTCTCCTGATGGAGGGAACAAAGGACAGACGTGGAGGAAGTGAGCAGGCTTCGGCTCTGGCTCAGGGGCAAGTGTGTTTAGCGCTCAGACGCAAACTCTGCCTCCTGCTGGCTGGGTGATCTTAGCTGAGGGCTCAGCCTCTCTGGGCAATGATTTCCTGGTCTGCAAATGGCAGCACATGCAGTGCTACCCGGTGACCACAGGAATTTGTTTGTGCGAGGTTGGATCAGGGCTCGGGATGCTGTTTTCCTCACCTTTTCCTCCACAATGCCTTACACTCGAGGCCTCTTGCTGTGGCCATCCCATCAGCATGCTAGAGACAGGCCAGTGCTGCCCTCGAGGGGTCACCTAGGCTGATCACTCCCTGACAGGCCTCAGTCTCCTCGCTGAGGACAGTAAGACCAGTCCATTCCACTGTTGCCTGCCTCTTGCTCCAGAAGCTGCGCTGCCCAAGGCAAATGACAGGCTTTTGTCGGTGTCGGGGTGGGGCCCGGTGGCCATGGTGGCATAAGCTGCCCTGGAGCCATCTGGCATCCCTCACAGACCTAGTCACATTCCCTCCTGGAGGTTGGGTCCCAGCTACAGGCACTGCAGGCTCCTCCCGCTGCCCACACAGCACCTGGAGCCCTTTCTCCCAGCTCACGTGTCCCTGCCCATCGAGAGGATACTGGCATGTGCCCCTGTGCCAGCATGGATCCTCCTGTCCTGACCTATGTCCTCTTCCTCACTTCCCTGCCTGCTGGCCCCTCAGTCCCTCCTGCCAAGGAGAGCCTGGCAGCCTCTGCTCCATGGACGGAACCCCTTCTCTTTGCCACTTTGGCACCAGGTCCTAGAGCTACTCAGGTGGCACTGTTCGCCTCCCAGCGTCATGACGCCCTGGTTGCGTTTTCTGCTTACGTAGTGGGACGATTCACCAGGAACTGAGGCTCACGCCAGGAGAATCAGCACTCCACTGGGTGCTGCCGGGGGCCTGTGCTGCCCTCTATCCACAGCTCTAATGGCCTCGAGGTGGCCTCTGGCAGAGGGAGTCCCGCCTCGACATCTGTAACCGGCGCCCCTTAACATCTGCAAAGCAGGGCTGTCACTCTTCTGATGCAGCCAGCAGAGCTGTAATTGGTGCTGTGATTGCGGTCCCGCTGGTGGCTGGGCCCTGCCAGCGACCCCGCCTGCCCCGTGTCACTGCGGCCCCCAGCCCCCACCCCTGCAGCCTCACACGTGGGACTTCTCTGTGCCAGGGCCTCGTGCCTGTGGTTGCTTGAAAATAAAAAAAGTGCCGAGGCGGCAGCCCCTGTCTCTCGCATTTGGAAGTGAGCGTGCGTTCACCCTGGCCACCTGTGCAGGGCGGGGTGGTGAATGTTTAAGTTTTAAACATGTGTTGTAGTGAGACACATTGCCGGCACTCCCCTCAAAACTCTCCCCCTTGATTCAAGCACATTCACCCTATTACTCCTGCCACTTCTGAAGCCGCTCTGGAGCCCACTTTTGCGTTTTTATAAGATGTGATCAAACTGACAGCGAATGCTGCTGTCCAGTGCCGTCCACCGGAAGAGCAGGCTCACAGAAACTTGACGCTGTGCCCTCATCCACCTAGTCACCGGATCTGGCACCGTGTGACTTCCGGCTCCTCCCCAAAGTCAAGATGACCAGGAAAGGTAAAGGTTTTGAATCCACTCAGGACATTGAAGCAGCAGTGAAAAGATCTCCGGACAGAGGGAAGACTCCAGAGCTGCTTTAGAGAGGGGCAAGAATGATGGGATAAGTGTGTTCAGAGAGAGGAAGAGGACTCTGAGAGGGATCAGTGGCACGTTCTTTACTGTAATAACGTTCAGCATTCACCGCAGTTTCGATCACACCACCCGCCTGTTGTTAACAGCAGCAGGGAGGCGGCCTTATCAGACAGCGAGGGGATTCTTGCCGCTTCCCGGAGACCTGGCTTGCTCACAGGAAGGCTGTGGGAAGGAGTGAGTGGCTGTGCGAGGCAGCCGTGCAGTGGCCTCCGCAGCCAGCTCGTCTGGAAAACTTGGCGGATGACACTAGGGGACAGTGACACAATCACGGCTACAAAACTTCAAGACTGTGGGCAGGAATGGATCTGTAGGCCATGCAGACAGTGCAGGCTGTCACCTCCTGTCCTTGAGGTGAGGGGCCGGCTCACTGATAAGCGTGCCACGGCTTGTGCCCAGTCTGAGGAGGGGAGGACAGCAAGGGCGAGGGAGACCAGCGGGCTCATGCAGAGTGCTGTGGGCCAGAGTGCCGGGTTCTGCTTCAGAGAGGGGTCACAGCAGGGCTGCAAAGCTGCTCCCCGGGGCAGGATGGAGGAACTGGCTGTTGCCCTCCCCAGAGACGCTCCTGGTGGCCAGTGGCCTGTCAGCTCTGAGTCGCAGCAGCCTGTCCAGGCCTTGAGGTCATTCTTCACTAGGAAGCTGAGGATTTTATGTCACCCGGAGAGGAAAAGCTCCCCAGGAAGGCCTGGACCTGGCCTTTGGAAGTCTGGAGCCTGCATCAGCCCAGACCTCACGTGCTGTTCCTCTGTCCATGGAGAAGCAAGGTCCTGCATGGGCCTGCAGGGCTCCTGTGTGAGGCTCTGCTGTCCCTGTTCTTCTTCTGTTGAAGTCACAAGTCTGTAGTGTTCTCTTGTTCCACAGGGCCAGGTCAGTTTCGAAGGACAGGAACTGAAACCGCCCTGAGGGCCTCTTTTGCGGCAAGCTGTGCCCGAGGCCTCCGAATCCCATCCTTCAGCTCTGGGTTTCAGGAGCCACTCAGGTGTATTAACAGTTCTACACCCCGATCTCGGTGCCAGCCTTGGTAGGAATCCCGGTAACAACACAGCACTGCGGCCATCGGGAGGGGACATAGCTCAATGCCCCCTGTGGGAAGCGCTTTGTAGACTGGAACTCACCATCCAGAGTCGCATGTTCATTATGTGATTTCTCCTCTAATTCCTCTTTCCACTCGTTCTGATGAAAGCATAAAGCAGCCCACAGTGACTCAGAATTCGTTTTTAAAAGGAAACCTGTGCTTGGGACAAGGACTCCCCAGTACCAGATCCAGAAGCCGAGGGAGGCTGCGCGGGCGCCGCGTGGGAAGGACAGCACCTTCATCTTGTCTTTTCCAAACGTCCTTTCTTTTCCTTATTTTCAGGACCTCTTGTTGAGGATGTTACGTTTCACTTTTAGTCATTTTTCTTAAATCTCAGACAGTTAAAGCCTTTGGGATTTGGGGTTCGTGTGAAAATCATTCCCACCCCCGGTATGTAACAACAGTCACTTTAAAGTACTTGCTGAGGGTTCCTCCCAGCGTCATCTTGTTTTAGGAAAAAGAAAACCTGAGGACCTGAAGTCCTTCCATGAAAGGGCCAGGCTTCCTACCTTGGGGTGTGAGCAGGGAGGGACGGAAACGTCTGCTGGGCTGCGGTCCCCGTGCGAGGCGGTGGTCACTGTGACAGGCAGCGATGTGCTGGGGAACTTCGCAGGGTTTACTGTACTGTAGAGCCGTGCCCTGGCTCCCCACAGTGGACCAGAGCCACCAAACACCTCAGAATGACGGCCCTTTGCCTGATCCAGCTGCTGCTTGTGCCCAGCTCCTGCAGCTGTTTTTCAAGCATGCTTGGTTTTTTTTGACCATGACCCGCCACTGTAAGTATGCGTCATGTCACAACGCTGCACGTGCACATGCGTGGAGCCAAGCGTTGCTGACCCTTATGCTCACGACAACTGTGGCATGTGCTGAAGGCGACAGGGCCACCACAGCGCAGTCCATTCTAGCCATCATCAGATCGATAAATGGTTCATGCAATGCCTAAGTCTGAAGGTGCGCACTGTGCGTGCAAGGGAAGTCAGTCTTGGAAAGGCCCCGGGCAGACCCGTGCTAATAGTCTCTCCTTTGTTCTTCTTGAGGTGGCAAACGCAGCTCATTCCCAACGTGCAAAGCCAAGGCAGCGACCCCAGGACCTCTGCTGGAGATGGAAGCTTGTTGAAAACCCAGACTGTCTCCATGGCTTCCCCAGGTGACCCCAAGGAGCAGAGACACCAGCCTGCCCCAAGGTCCCTGCTTAAGACGCAGCTCCACGGAGACAATCACTGCCACCCCCTTTGTCTACTGCAGCAGCCATGTCCCAGAAGAAAGCATCAAAATGGTTGTTTTTTTAAAAGGAAGTTACAAAGCACACGAGAATGCCAGCAGGCCCCAGTCGCCGGAAGCTTCCTCCCTGTCTCTGCGTGCGCTTCCGGAGCACCTGTGCCTGCACTGTCCCCAGGCAAGGACAGAACCTCGGCTGCCTTTGCCTGCCACGCAACTGGAGCCAGCAGCCAGCATGTCCATCCGTCCATCAATCCGACGGTCACACCCCAGCGGAGGAATTTGTGGGAGCGACTCCTCTCCGTTTGTCTTCGTTTTTCCTTCCTTTCTCCTAATGCTTTTATTTAACAGTGCAAAACTTGGATCAATCTTATGTTTGCTTCTGTTTTTTTTTAAACTTGAATTCTTCAAACAATTTACACTTTCTGATTTCTTGTATATTTTGCTAGCTATGAGCTTTTAAATAAAATTCAAAGGTCGGGAAAACTTGGAAATAAAAACAAATGAAAAGAAGCCTTCTCTTTCTGAGAGATCTCATCCCATAAGTGGCTTCTCTGTGAATTGCCTGTCACAAATAGTGGCCTCTCTGTCCTTGTGAGGTGTCCGATAGAGCTACGTAAACACGACAGCGAAGACCACTCTGTGGGCAACAATTCGCACTCCTGTTTCACTTAGTTTTTCTTGATTTTTTTCCCCTTTTCGAAATGGTAACCTTGACACACACTTCAGACTGGTTTGCAGTGACTTTCCATTTCGTTCTTTTTCACCCCCTTATTGTAAAAAGCCCAGCACTTGAATTGTTATTACTTTAAATGTCCTGTATTTGTATCTGTTTTACTAGGCAATTAGTGGGATTTTATGCCAGTTGTTAAAATGAGCATTGATGTACCCATTTTTTTTTTTAAATAGCAAGGCACAGCCTTTGCTCCAAACTGTCATCTAACCTTTGTCATTCCAGTTTGAGTTAACGTGCTGAGCATTTTTTAAGAGAAGCTTTGTAATAAAACATTTTTAAAAAGAAATGTCCCTTTATTAAGAGTCAAGTTCCTGATGCTCTAGAGTTGCTAAGCACAAATCCAGGGCCAACCTGGAACCGATGGGGGCAAGTGGGACCCATGCTGGCGGGGCGTGGCCCAGCTGCCTTGGGACAGCCAATGCCTGTGGTGAAGGCACCTCCCTGTCTCTGCGGCCCGCGGTCCAGGAGGGCACTGCATGGCCGGGGCCGCCTCCACCCAGTGTAGTCAGGACATGGGGTCAGAGCAGTTACCAGTGCAGCTGGCAGCCAGTCCTCCCCAGCGTCCCTGTGCTGGTGGCAGGGACACAGCCCCTCCCTGCTGTGGCTCGATGGCTCTCCCGATCCTAGGTCTGAGGCACAGGAAGGTCTTCGCACCCACCATCTCCCCAGCGTTACCGCGCTGCCCTCTTGTGTCTATATCCAGTCATTTTACCATAAGGGTTTGCTGTGTGTGAGCTGGGGTGTGATTTAGCAAGAACTACACTTTCAAACACTGGTATTTCATGTCTTCCACGATAGTTTTCCGTCCCACAAGCTATGCTGAGAAGCACTGATACCACCGGTCTCTCATCCCTCACTGGAATGGTTTCTCGCTCACCCCACAGCACAGCTGGGGAACAGCTGGCTACCATTCTTGTAACAACCCTCCACATACTGTACTTGAAGACTGCCATTAAATCACCCCTCAAATTCTCGTCTCCAGGCTAAGTAATCCCAATTCCTTGAACCTTTCATCATCAGTCCTTTAATCATTTTCATTACTACCCTCTGGAAATGCTCCAATTCTTCTTCATTTAGTCCTAAAATTGAACGGGGGGAAAAAGTATTATGTTCAGAGGACCTACTTGTTACAAAGGTTTCATATTCGGGCCTAACCAGAACTTCATCTGAAAACTCGCTCAGATTTTTTAATGTCCGTGAACTGAGTCTATCAAGCAGTCTGCAGCTGCCACCGTCATCTTTCGGGGAGTTCACCAGAAAATGCGGTAAGACGGTGTAGGTGACACAAAAGTGTTACTTTTGCAGGGGGAGGAGGCGCTAGTCTGGGTCTTGCAAGTAATTAAAAACCTGTTTGTCAAGGAAGCACCAGCAGGACGTAAACTGGAGACCCATGGATTGGCCAAAACTCACCCCTTGTATGGCTCCTCCCCGCCTGTGTTTTATGGTGCAGGAAAGAATGAATCAACAGTGGTGAAAATATGAACTGTTTGGCCCCTCTGAGCCAAGCTGTATCCTCCACCATCTTCATCTCCCTCCGAATTCAGTTCTTAATTGTGTCATAATTTTTCCCAAGTGACACATAGGCACACACAGCTCATTTCTGCCATCGCATCCAACTCCCTTCTCGAAGCCTGCAGTGCTGGGGAATGGGTGCGCCCCGGTGCGTCTGCTGTCTGCGGGCCACTCCACATGTGTCTCTGACCAGGCCTGGCCATCTTCTTTCTGGGAGCAGCGCCTTCTCCAGGCCTGGTGCAGGGCTCCCCCTGGTGCCCATTGCTGCAGCTGCTGCAACTCCCTTTTGCTGGGAGGGGCCTTTCAGCTGCTGGCTACAGCTGCCCTAAGTACAATCGATTTTCCTATGACTCACAAAGGCTGCAATAATATGGAGACCTTTAATAAAGGCTGCGAACAGTGTCAAGATGTGTACCTGGCTTTCCTTTTAAAGAAGAGTCATGAGAGTCATGCACTGTGAAACTTCAGTCCCACCTGACAGCAACTGCTCGTGTTTCGCTTACTGCTCCCAGCACAAGCAGCACAGCTTTCTGTGAAATTAAGAATTGCTAGAATTCACAGCCGAGTGAGCAGCAGTTTTCTCCCACGCATGGACAGCTGGGGGCTTAGTGTGAGACCCTCACACGTGTGTCTTTGAGCTGCTTTGAGATGGAGACTAAAACCACAGCTTCCCATTTTAACACTAGCAGAAGGATGTGACTCTAAATGTCATACAGATGCTGACAAACGATGACTGCTTTTCTTGGCTATCATTCTGAAGCTGCTCTTCTAAGCTCCTGAGATTCTGTAACGGAAAAACTTCCATGCTCTTACTCTGCAGCCAGGAGTCGCTCAGGGGTAACAGGGGAGGGTGTGATGCCAAGTATAGCTACTTCAAATCCACAGGGTTCGAACATCTCCCATATTAGACAACATGAAATTAATAACTGAGTTAAGCTCAAGTGAAAATCAATCATTTCCCTTTATTTATTTATTAAGGTACCAGGAATCAAACTCAGGACCTTGCCCTTGCCAGGCATGTACTTCCTTTTATTGAAGAAATGCTAATCATGTTTATTACCAACACTGTTGTGAGTCACAGCCCACCCATATTAAAGATGTGAGCCAATACGCTTTGACCGAGCACCGCAGGCCCTCCTCAAAGCACTGTACACCAGAAAGTGTCTTCTCATCATCAGATTTACTGTCTGCTTTTGTGGCACACACGCAGCTTCCTTGCCCCCGGGTGGTGCTCGGGGCACCACAAGTCCTATGTTAGAAGAAGGCTCTCGGGGAAAGCGCAGGTTTGGGGTTGCAGAGCTGCAGCTCCGGTTAAGCCCTGCAATGAACCCCCAGAGCTGTCACTTTGGGGACAAATGCATGGGGTGGTGAGACCCTGGCAGACAGAAACTGGCTAATGAATAGATTTCCTCTTGTTTTGTAATTTGTTAGAAAATGTGCTTTTTCAGTCCATTCTGAAAATATCTTGCTTTTGCATTGCCTGTAGCTATAGAACATCAAATATATTTCTTCAGCTCAGAGCAGCAGCTGGTAACCAGGACCGAACAACCCATTTGGGACTCAAATCAAGAGGGACAGAGTTGGGGTGTTATGCGGTCATCTACACTGATATGTCCCTTAAATATTTATCTTAATCTCTAATACCTGAGACATTGCCAGCTAAATTAGCAGGTTTTATCTCCATGAAATACATGGGAGAAATTGGTAGAGCACTATTTGCAGTTGGGATGAGAGCACGGCAAGCAAGCAGAAGGCACAATCATGCATCACCTCGTTTCTCTACCCAGTCAGGGGATCAGCTGACTAGACCCTTACTCCATCCATAACTTGTCTCAGAATTGCAGTTTAGGGAACCAATGAGTTAATTTGGCCCTGCAATGGTATTTTCTCCCATCAGCAAGATGCATGAAGTGACCAGAGGGAATAGGAGCCCATCAACTGGCCTGGTGATTGTGACAGGTCCTTCCCCTGCTGGCTTAGGTGCTCACTGCTCAACTGAAGAGGCAACATTTTCCAACACAGCCTTCCCTCCACATCCAGCCCTGGGGACACTGTTATCACCTCACAAAGTGAGGGTCTACCAAGCCCCGAGGCGCCCTGAACATCACCTCGTCTGATGCTACCTGCCAGCATTAGGCAGGGGTGGTGGGCTCCACCTCCTCAGGCCTCACAAAGCTGGGGCTGCTATTCCTTCAGTGCCTGGTCCTAGACGCTCGTGCCATTTTTCCAGCTTCAAGAGCCATCTCCCTTGCCTGCGCTTTCACCCTCAGTGAGACACACTTGGCCCATGCAACTCCAACTTGCTTAGAATGAGAGTGTCGTGACCCCACTTCTCGCTACAGCAGTGCCTCAGACTGGATGACGAGATCTTCAGCCAGCAGGGATGGGGACTCCGAGTGTCATGGGGAACCCTGGGGTGCGGAGACTGAGGCAGGCGCTGTAAACTCTAAGTCATGCTGGGTGTGGCACAGGTGTGTCATCCCACATCTCCAGGGGGCTGAGGAAGGAGGATCCCAAGTTTGAGGCCAGCTTAGGCAGCTCAGTGAGACGCTGTCTCAAAGAAAAAACAAAAAAAGCCTAAATGTAGTTCAGCAAGGTGCTGGCTTCCATCCCTAATACTACAAAAATATAAACTGCAAGTCACATCAGTAAGATGTGCTGGCATTCACATGGCCTCTCTGCATTCGGGATTAGCTGTGATTTTAATAAAGGAATGCCATAAAGTTCTCCTAGCGAACAACTCCTAAGGCACATGAATATACACACACACACACCTTAGTGAGGGCAGGCACCAGGAAGAAGAAAAATTAGACTACAAACTATAATACCCTCCCCCTTAGCTTAGCAAGGAGACAGTGCCGCATCTCAGAATCCACTGCTCTCAGACAGGAGCTCTCATTAAAGCCCAATCTCTACCCACTGTGTGGACTCTGGGGTCGTGCACTGGCTCTGCGCTTAGCCTTCCTGGGTCCAGCTGCACACCAGCACAGTGGGTAAAAGGTCACACTGCACCCTCCCTCCTCGTAGCTCCACTGCTGGGCCTAAGGGTTCTGGAAGGCAACCTTGCCAGAAGCATGCACAATGTGACCAAAACACTGATTGTTGAACATTTTTTAAATTTATCAACATTAAAGACTTACTGCCATGAATCCCTCAAAACTCTCCCCATGCCCCTTGGCCGGAATCCGTTTCATTTAAACATTAACCGTATCTCCCAATCACCCCACCCCCAAATGACCTGGAGTTGGGTCATCCAGACATTCTTAGGGGAGACCTCAGTTTGAGACACCTGTCCCCAAGCCTGCCATCTGTGCCTGCTGTCCTCAGGCAAGCAGAGGCCATGGGCTTCCTCCAGGTCTGCCCTGCTGCTGCCTGTGTGCCAACTACGGAGGTCCTACTGGGGCTGGAGACCAACATCCACCCTGCACTCCGGCACACAACTGCTTCAGCTGGGGCGGAGAACAGGCCAGTGTGGCCCAAATCTGTTTCAGAGCTACGCCAATCCTGCTATTGCTCCCGAATAACCCATGGGGAGTGGGGGTGGTCCCCACAGTGCCCCAGCATTGTTTAGAAACACATTCCCATGGGGTGAACCCGACTTTCTCCTGCTCAACCACCGCTTCCTCTTACCATACCAGGTGTGAAAGCACGCTGCTCCCCGCGAGGAAGGCAGTCATTATGTACTGCAAACACGGACCGATGAAAAAAATTACTGCAGTAAAAGACACACGGCCATGAATCCTCCTCACAATCCTCCCCTCACTTCAAACACACTCACTCAGGGTCCTTGCCACTTTCTGCAGCAGCTCTGAGATCCTCTTTCCTGAGTGTCGTTAGTTGCGCTGTCCTGACTGCCTTGACGTCTTGAATCCACTCAAAGTGTTTCCTTTCATGGCCATTTCGACTTTGGGGACAGACAGAAGTCACATGGAGCCAGATCTGGTGACCAAGGTGGGTGAGGATGCAAAGGTGTGTTTTTACGAGGTGCCTTTCCATTGGATGGCAGAAACAGACACCAGATTTTTAATCGTGCCTCATAAAGACCCTGGGAAAGAGGACTTTGAGAGCCGCTTCAGAAAGTGCCAAGGACGATGGAGAAGCATGTTCAAAGCGGAGAGGGAGGACTGCAAGGGGGATCTGTGACAGGGCCTTCCACTGTAATAAATGCGTTTTCATAACACTTTTAACGTTCACTGTATCATCACCCCTCGTATGGTGCGAGACTCCTGAGAATGCTTCCCAGTGAACAAGCTTTTTCCTGGGGCCTCAGCCACCCAGCCTGCTGCTCATCCCTACCTCCAGCCCCTCCTCGAAACGCCCGCCGTTCGCCCTGCCTGGTGCTCCTGAGGGCTCAGAAGGACCTGAGCAGCCGCAGGGTGGGTGACAGGCCCACGCCCCAGGGTCAGCTCGTGCCCAGGGGTAACGCTCCAGCCGAGTACAGCCCTGCAGGGCTCTGTTTGCTAAGCCATCTCCATCTCCAGGCAACACAGGCAGAGGAAGAGGAGCCGCCGCCAGAGCCCGAAGCACTGAGCACCCCAGTTCACCCTGCAGCAGCCCCAACTGCTGGCCTTAAATACACAAGGGGTCACTGTCAGTCACAGGCCTGTCTTGCCGTGGTCAAATTCCTTCTGCCATTTCAAAATGTACCTAAGCAAAAACTGCTAGAGACATCAGACCCGTGACGGGAAATACGGGGACCAATTTAAAACTCACTACTGGGTTCCTTCAGCTTTGAAAGTAGAGCAGTGATTCTGTTACTCAAGCATCTTTTACATTAGCACTCAGCATCGACGCTGGTTTACAAGCAACCAGTCCCATAACGCGACAGACACACCTCAGATTCCCGGCACTCAGTTTCTCGGGTTGAGATGGTGAGCGGGTTACAAGCAGGTGTTTGTGCGCACACACAAACTCGTTCCAGTGTGTGCAATGCAGAGCACGGCAGCCAGAGCTGCCACATGCACGCTCCCTCAGACTGGACTGGCCCCACCTCGCCAGGACTTGTTAGTAGGAAGCTCACCATCGGGCAGGGCAGGGCAGGGCAGGGCAGGGCCAGCGGCGATCCTCCTCCGTGCCAGCCCCAGCTGCACAGGCACCAGCGCCCGCCCTGCACCCATCTTTCAGTGTCACGAGACGGGAGCCAATGTCTCCTGAGAGCACAGGGCCACGCCTCTCACTCCAGACACTCTTGTAGGCACCACGGCTGCTCTTGGGAGCATCCGGCTTTCCTCAGAACTACAGTCCCAGGTCTACTTGGTCTTCGGCAAGTTATTTCATTAACTGGACAGTTTTCTTTTTGGTTTCAACTTTCACTTCTGTGACAGGGATATAAGGAAGCAGAGGAAAAAGAAAGATCCAGTTTTTGACTGACACTCGTAGTTACTTCCTCATGTCTAAGAGTGGGAGGGAAGCAGCTCCATACGATCCATCCTCCTCCTTGGCCAGCATGGCGAAGCCCAGCTCAGGATCGAGCCCAGGCCCTCCACCCTGAACTATAGCCCCACCTCTGTTTTTATTCTGAGACAGGGTCTCACTGAGTTGTTAAGGTGCCCGGGCTAGGCTCAAACTTGTGATCTTTCTGCCTCAGCCTACATTCAAATATTTTTTAAAAACTAAAGAGCTCTTTTTTATCAATCATGAAATGAATAAAGAAAAAAAAAGACATGAGAAATCTAACTCTAGACACAAAACAAGGACACTCACTCTGGGAAAGATCCATCTGAAAGCTTACATTTGTGATTTCTCAATATGCTCCTGGGGCTGAATTTTACCCTCAGAGCCTAGACTGACTCTGGCGACATGGACCTCACTTAGGCATTCTGCTAGCAGGCACCCGGACCTCGGGGCGCTGGTGTCCCCGGCTCAGATTCTCTTGTGGAGGCCTCTGTGGGCTGATGATTAAAGAAGCTTGGGTTACATTATTCTGCTTTGTTGGCAAAGAGAAACAGATGTTCCCAAGGCGTCTCCGCCCTGCCACCCCCACCCCACTGCTGCTGCTGCTTCAGCAGGCACAGCTTCTGTCTCAGTGATCAAACCTTCTCTGATAAGGACCTCAGCCTTTGCCACGTGAATCACAAGTGTTTATTTCCATTCAAAGTCTCACAGACTAAAGGGTTCCATTCTATCAGAATCAAGGAGCAGCCTGCTCACCACTGGTTTCTCACGGCAGACAGGAGACAGCGACCACACACAGGTCCCCATGGGCCTGGATGCTTCCCCCTGCCGAGCGTGGTGACAGCCAGGGCTCCTCGGCCTACACAGTGGCCAGTGTCCCCGGGTCCTGAAGTCCCAAGATCCCAGGGGAACTGAGACGGTGATGGCAGCGCGCTTGCTCTGGGAAGAAGGGCGTTCCCTCCCACATGGGGGCTGGCAGTGCTTACAGAGACAAGGCTCAAAGGAACGCCTATGCCAAGGCACCAAGGTGCAAAGCTCTCGGAGACATGGAAATGTGGGCTGGAAAGGTCAGCCCTCGGTGCAGGGATCTGCCTGCGCCAGACCAGGAAACGGAGCTTCAGAGGAACGGCACCACCACACTGTGGGGCACCCTGGCCCGTCCCCAGGCTCCCACTGGCTGGCTGCAGGCTCCCGAGGTCCCCTAGGCGGAGCGGGTCACTTGTACTTGTAAAAGCCTTCCCCGGACTTCTTGCCCAACTTCTTCTCCTCCACCAGCTTGCTCAGGGCAGGGCTGGGCTGGAACAGCGGGTTCTTCGCGTCCATCTCGTGCCACCCTACGGAAAGGGGACAAAGTGCAGGGCTTATTCCGACCGTGGCACTCCCAGGGTACTACGGGAGTGCAGGGTGTGGAGCCCACCACACCCACTCGGCAGGGCACAGGGGTATCAGCACCAGGCTGCTCGACCTGAGACCTGTGCTGCCCAGGGAGCCTGCTCCACGGCCATGGTTAGCCAGGCTCCACTGGGCACCGTGAAAGCACAGGTCCAAGTCACCAGAGCCTGCACATGCCCTGGTCGGCCACAGCTCACTGCGGGGCGCAGGCTGACGCTCTGACGCACACTGCTACTACTCCAGGAGCCTATCACGCTGCAAGAACAAGCCTCCTCTTCCTCCTCCCTCACAGTGAGGCTATTTTTGTGAGACGTGGAAGCACTATGCCACACTCCTCCAGCAGTTTAGTGTTATGCTTTGTTTCGGTTTTGCAGGACTGGGGGTTGAAGTCTGGGCCTTCACATCGTGCTACATCTCCAGCCCTTTTAAAAGCTTTTTATTTTGAGACAGGGTCTTGCTAAGTCACCAAGTTGCCTAGGCTGGACTTGAACCTACAGTCCTCCTGCCTCAATCTCCCGAGTGCTGAGCTTACAAGTATATGCTCTCGCACCTGGCTAGCAGTCCAGTGCATATACGTGTATGTACCTGTATATGTATATATGTGTGTTTCTGTGGTACCCAGGACTGAACTCAGGTCCTTCATACTGGGATACATCATTAGCCCTTAATTCCATTTTTATTTTGAGACACGGTCTTGCTAAATTGGTCAGGCTGAACTTGAACCTGTAATCCTTCTGCCTCGGCCTCCCAGAGTGCTGGAATTACCCAGCCTCACAATTGTTTTCATCCTGTGTTCAAAAGCACTACACTAATCGAATATATTTTTAAATGATTGTCTATCTGGATCAAATGGAGTCATCAACTGGTGACAGTACACCCAGTGCACCCTGGCCACTTTGTGACTCCTACACTACGCTATGCAGAGAGGAAGGCAGGGACGGTGCACAGGCCATGTGCTGTTTCCCAACTTCCTGTGAGCCCCACAAGTGCTTCAGAAGGGGAGTCTGAGCAGCACCTTGGGCCTCACACTCTCGGCCCCACACAAAGGACCTGGGACCCATAACTCCATCTCTGGCCTGGTGCTGGCGTTGAGTATGGTTCAACCCCAAGGGCTCAGGTGCTGGAAGCTTGGTCCCCAAGCTGGGCCTGGTGAAGCCATCAAGCCACGGGGTCCTCATCACCAGTCACAGATCACACATCAGCATGTCTTGGAAGTAGGTCTCATCACCTGGGACTACATCTTTCCCTAGAGAGCAGCATAAAATGGTGCCCCTCACCCCACACCCGAAACCCAGCACCCTGCAGCCCTCAGCACAGCCTTTCACCTGTACCAGACTGTAACACGGCCAGCTTGGAAGCAGCAGCTACACAAACCTTTCCTCCGTCCTCTTGTTTGAGCCTATAGTGCTGGGCTGCAGCCCTGCCCTCAGCGCCACCCCAGCCACCCTTCTTTTCTTCCACAGGACCAGCCCTGCTATTTTGTCCCAGCAACACAGAATGCACCAAGCCAGGTGAGGAGGACCCTGCGAGTCTTCCGAAGCCCCACAGGATCTGTTTTCAATCTGCACAACAATCCAGTCTGGAGAGACTACTTTGGCTCATCCGGAAAAGCCAGGGAAGGCGCCAGCTCCTACCGTCCATGATGAACTTCGTGGTGTCCAGCCCAACGTAGTCAAGAAGCTCAAAGGGACCCATTGGGTAGCCGGCTCCCAACTTCATGGCCACATCGATGTCTTCCTTGGACGCGTCACCTGTGGAGAAGGGCACTCCTGCATCACTGCGCCGCTCCCTTCTCCAGGGAGGTCCAGAGCCAGGAGAACCCTAGACACGCGCACATTCGGACCATTTAGAGTGCTGTGCCTCAAAGTGTGTGCTCAGCAGGTCATGAGCTCCTCCTACACCCAGACCTAGAGGGAAGGCCAGGCTCTGCGGCCTTGTCGGGGGACACAGCCCTGCTCCTTCCCAGGAGCCTGGGTCTCCAGCTCAACGTCATCTGATGCTGAGCAGGTTTCTGACTTAAGAATGGGCAGTGAACATGTGCATGCACTCAGGGCTCTGCTTTGGTCTGCACTGGAGGCGTGCTTTGCCCCTTCTCCCCCAGCTGTCCCAGTGTGATGAGTAAGGAGGGACGAGGACCCTCAGGACCCCTCATACAGATGCTCAGCCGGGATTTTGGGGCAGGGATGGGGTCAGCCATGCAGGGGTTAGATCCCAGCACCATTTAAATAAAAAAAGGAGGGAAGAGTGAAAGAAAGAGGAGGAGGATGGGAGGGAGGGAGAGGAAGAGAGAGAGAGTAAAATGAAGGGAGGGAGGGGGCAAGCAAGCTGCTTCAACAAAGCACGAAGCTAACTGAGAGCTGCCACAGCCAAGACAAGGGCCAGGTGCCTTTCTCCGGAGCTGTCCCTGTCTCGGGCCGTCGGAGTCCAGCCCCACCCCGTGGCCTTTCTCTGAAGCCAGAAACTGGAAAGATCTCCAACAGTAGTATCAAGAATTTTCTTTCAAAGCATGAAGGAGCAGTCAGTCACAGCAAAGCTGAATAAAATGCTGAGACGGAGGCCTGCACACCTAAACATCAGACTACACACGAGGAGCAGAGCTACTTAGGCCTCCACAGAGAGCACCTTTTAAGGACACGTAGCACTAAGATAACGCTAAAGAACTGAGCACCGTAAGAAGAGCAGCCACAGGCAGCGTCATTAGTGCCACATATGGGGCAGGGGCCTGGCAAAGCACATCTGGGCTGGGGCCATTAGAAAGCAAAGGGGTCACCGATGTGCGCCTCCTCGGGCAGTGCCGAACCCCCAGCCACTTCCACTTCTGTCTATTGTGGAGGCACCAGGTCCCAGCATGAGATGCGTGGACTGGAGGCCTGGAACAGGCAAAGCCACCATGGTCACATCACAGGACACAGTGGGAGGAAGGAACGTGGCGTGTACGGTGTGGCTCTGCAGCGCAAAGTGGGTTCCATGCAGGACTTCAAGGCCGGGGTCCCTATGGCTCTGCAGCCCCCTCAGGACTGTGCCTGGGGTGTAGGACCCTGAGTCCTGCTGGCCCTCTCCCTTCCCCCAGCCTTTGCTCAGGGCCCCAGGTCACAGTTCCAAGTGACAGCCTGGCACTAGTCTCGGGCCCACACACAGCAGCACCACGCAGCACGACACAGGTGCCAAGCGCAACGGCTTCCACCTCATGGAGCCACTGAGTCAAACGCACAAGAGGCAGCTCTGGACCCACTCGCCAGGGCCACTCTGTCTCCAAAATGATGCGCAGGCACAGACCCCACAGCGAATGGCCAGAACAGCTGCACAAAGCCAGCACAGCCCTAAAACTTTCGTCTTAAGTAACGAGAATGAGCAAGGCGCAGAGCGAGGGAGAAGTAGAGACACATGCAGACAGGGGGACCACACGGACAATAAAGGTGGCCTCGCTTTAGGCTGGTCATCCCTGAACCTCTCCAGGGTCACACACACGCACGCACTTCCCACTCCAGCTAAGCGCCCCAATCCTAAGCACCTTCTCAGTGCACCCTCAAACCCGCAAGGCCGGCCAACACAGGGCCTTCCAGAGTCAGCTTCCTCTGCGGGCTCTCCAGTGCCACCTGCCAGCCGCTCAGGGCACTGCCGGCAGGGGCTGGGGGCAGAGAGCGACGCCAGGAAGACCTGCGCCCAGCCTTCACGGAGCAGCAGCTGCCTTGGCTGAGTACCACACTTGAACTCACTGCCCTCACCTATGACCAGCCTCAGGCTCTGCAACCTCAGAGCACAGTGATTTCTAACATGTGACACGCACAGTGACACGGCTGGCTCCTCTGCCCCGCACAACCCGACCTGGCATGGCGCACGGTGCTACCTCGTTCGTACAGCCGGACAGCCTCCAGGAGGTAGGGCACCAGGAGCCTGTTCACGATGAACCCTGGAGTGTCCTGCAGCGGTAGGCAGAGGAGAGACATAGCCGCCGTCACCGCGGTCCTGCACACAGACTGGTCCACGCCAGCCTGTGCCGCCGCAATGACTCCCAATGGTGCCTCCCTCCCCGCGCCCACTGCCCTTCCGTGAGCCCAGATGCCTGATAATCCCCTAAGAAGCACCCCCGGGCTGTTCTGGGGACAGAGAGTAACTGTCCCCTGGGTCCCTGCGCACAGGGCAGCAGGAGAGCAGCAGATCTGAGAGCCCCCCGCCCCCTACAGTCCACCCCTGCAGAGACCACATCGGTGCAGACCAGGATGACTCCTCCGCCGCACCCCCTGCCACCCACATCCTCAGCAAGAGCCCCTGTCCTCACCCCAAGAGCACGGCACGGGGCCTTTATCTACTGATATCTGTGGGGAACACACAGGGCGGTCGCACGCTTATGGTGTCTGCGTCATGCTACCCAACACTCTGAGCCCAAGTGGCCTCTTCTGACAAAGGCTCTGCCTGTGCGAGGTGGGAGGACACTGGCCCGTGGCCTTCCACTGAGAGGCCTGGAGCCAGCATCTGTCCATACCCCATGCTGCACAGGAGGGCGAACGCGTCGGTGCCTCCCCTACCCTCCCCGTTCTCAGCGGGCTCCCCCGACAGCACAGGGCAGGGATGGCAGGAGCTGCTCAACACCCCAGTGTGTGACCCCACACTTGCACCTGGAGGTCGGCAGCAGCCTGCCAGCAGCTTGTTCCAATCGTGACCCCCAAGCCCTCCACAGAGGCACCCAAACCTACCCGGAGCTGTTCTAGCTCACTGTCTAATCTCCGAGGGAAGCAGAGGGATGAGTGGTGAGGCAAACACAGAGCAGCACCTCACTCGCCAGTGGTGCGGGTTGTCTATGCCAGTGCCGTCACACACGGCTGTGCTGCGTGCGACACAGCACCACTGGTGATAAGAACTGCTCGCCAGAGGCCAATCTCCCAGGACACTACGGCCCTGCCGCCTGCGCTGGATGAACCACTGCTCTGTGGCGTGACTGCACGCACAGAGACAATATGGCCCTTATTCTGTGTGGCTGCATGGTCTGCAGTCACCTGCTCATGAGCGCCAACGACTGCCCCATGGGGGCCTGGCACTCCCACCTGGTGGGGCTCTCAGGGCCCTTCTGAGACCACAGCACACTCCTCCCTGCCATGCCTGGCTGCTCAAGGGAGAAGGCACCCATCCACCTTCCCGCTCTGCCAGAGCCATGGCTGGTGGGCTCTTGGGCCTGGGAGCTCGGCTACCCACTCCTCACCCCACCGGCCTGCCCGGTACTCTGCAACAGGGGCTCCATGACTCTACCTTGCAGGACACAGGGTGCTTTCCCAGGGCTTTGGCGAAGTCCAGCAGAGACTCAAACGTCTTCTGGCTGGTCATCGGTGTCTTGATGACCTAGGGAGGCACAGCAGAGTCAGGGATGGAGCACCAGTGCCAACCGCAATGTGTGTCCTGGGCAAACATCAGCCAAATGGCTCCCTGAGGTGGCCAGGCTCTCAGGCCAAGAAAAATGATGCCCAGGATGCCCTCCTCCAGAACTGCCCTGCTGCAGTGCACACAGAACCGAGGCTTAAAGCATGGGAGGCATGCAGGTGGTTCTGCAGAGCCCCAGCTGGACTGTGTACTTCAGAGAAACCGATGACACTGGAGGGCGAGGACACGTGATCCCCTGGCACCAGCATTTGGGACACTGCCTTCCCCTCCTGCCCTGCGGCATGAGGGAGTGCGCTGCCTGGTCCCAGGAGAGGGCCTCCAGCACTCCCGGGGAGCCTACCACTGCACTGTCCCACCATGCTGCCCAGTCCACCCACACCCTGAGGCGGCTCAGGCCACACCACGGGAGCGACTGGCGCAGCTCTTCCTGCTGGCCTCCAGGTGTGGGCACCAAGCCAAGGCCCGGCGCAGGCAGGTCTCAGTGACACTCCAAGAATGCACCTGTTGGGGATCAGACCTGGCCGAGGGGACCTGCGTGAATTTGAACACGTGCACACATGCACACACACAGATGCACATACAAATGTACATGGCAGTGGAGAACCGCGAGGGTCAAGGTGAGTGGCTCAGCTTCTGCCTCCACCCATCCACGTAACCATGCTGCATCTCATCCTGAGAAGGGATGTGACAGCAGCACTCGCTCTCCTAGGAGGCGCCCAGCTTGCTGCACTGCTGTGGGCAGAGCCAAGCAGCTGCATAAAATGCACCGAGCCCACCCAGGACCCGACCTGACCCGACACGGAGCAAGGAGTGAAGCCGGGCACAAGGAGCAGGACCTGTGGGAGTGCCCTGGAGCAGTCCCAGGGGAGGGCTGAGAGGGCAAAGGAGTCAGCTGTGGAGCAGGAATGTGTGTTTGCTCATTCAGCAGCAGCAGCAGGAGCTCAAGTCTGCGCGCGGCTCCAGGGGGACCCAGTGGCTGCGCAGAGCGGGAGAGGAGCAGGAGTGCAAGTGCAGCACGGCCCCACTGACCTCCACCAGCTTCATCACCGGCACCGGATTGAAGAAGTGGAGGCCGGCGAAGCGGTCCTGCCGGGTGGTGGCGTTGGCTATGCTGGTGATCTGCAGGGACGAGGTGTTGCTGGCGAAGATGGTGTGTCTGCAGAGAGAGAAGAGCTGAGCCTGGCCCCGCTGCTGTGGGACCGTCACTTCACAGAGGTGGAGTCAGGATTGGCTTTCTTTCAGGGTCCAAGCCTAGCCCACAAGTGACCTGTTCAAAGGCAGAGCTTTCCCGTCTTTCCCAAATCCGCAGGGACAGACTTGCTCCTGTCTACCTGGAGAAGCCAGTTTTCAGGGCACAAAAGGGAAAAGGAGGCAGCTAATGAGCTCCCAATGTCACGCAGGTCAGTCACAGAGCAGAACTGCAGGAGACCAGCCTGCCAACGGGCATTGTGGCCCTAAAATGAACCACACAACAGAACAAGCATCTCTGAAGGGAAACACCAAGTCCTCCACTCAGTGGAAAACTTTCCTTTTACGTTCCAAACCAACAGCATCCACAAGAAGTCTGCTAAGGGAAGGAGGTCCCAGGGCACCTGTGACCCATTCAGATACTCTGCTTACAAAGAGCCGAACACGTAGCACCATCGTCCTCAGTGTAGACCTGACAATATGCTCCCTGTTAAATCCGTACTGACTTAAACCAAAGGTCATTTGCTGGGACTGTAGGAAATGGGTTCCATAGGCCTATGCCAGGCAGGACGCTGGGCTCTCCTGCAGCGCCACCTGGTGGATGGGCACACACACACACACACCAGCCTGGTACCAGGTGTAGTTACTCCAGATTTGTGGGGTTCCTGCTTTATTTTGGGCAGGGCAGCTGGTGTGTGGGGCCTGCTGTGCCTGGCTCAGGAAAGCGGGCCCTGCAGTGGACCTGCTCTGCCGCTGCAACGGGGGCTGGTGTGTCTGCACTGTGAACACGGATGCCTCACCCTCCAAAAGCACACAGGCCCCTGTCCCGCACACTCGTGCTCTCCCTCCCGTCTGCTGACACTTGGGTCCCCAAGTGGACTTTCATCCTAGAGGCAGCAAAAGGAACAGACAGCAAGAGGACCCAGGCCCCCAGTCTGCCCTGCGTGCCAGACAGGTGCTGGCTTGGCAGAGAAGCAGGGTCCACGCTCGGCTTCAGCTGCACTCTTCACAAATGCACGCCTCATTGCAGCTCCTGGCAGGGCCTCACCACCTGCACATGCTTCTTCTGCACGGCAGGGCCTGCCTCAAAGCCTCAGCAGAGAAGTGCATCTCGCTGTGGCAGCACACACTGAGGCAGGAGGATCGACTGAGCCACAACACTCAAGACCAGCCTGGGCACAAGGAGATATTGATCCCCAGAAGAGACAACGTGGATGTACCAAGTATTCCACAGTGGTCGCAAGCTGAAACACCAGGAAAGTCCGGGAGGGGTGGCTAGCAGCGTGGCCACATTTCCAGCTGTGCCCTCCACTCATGTGTCACTCTGCTTTCCATGAACTCCAGTGACCGAGCCCGCACATCCCCAACCCACAGCAGGTGCTCGGGAAGCCAAAGCTGACTCAGGCAGCCATGGCCCCCCACACCCCCTCCACAGAGGCCGCTCCCCACTCCCCTGCACAACGGCATCCTGGCAGCCAGGCCCCACCTCGCACGTCCCTCCCGAGGCCAGGGGGCCCCTCTGCCGCCATCACCCAGTAGCTGCAGCCACGATTCAGGAACTGGTCAGGGCCACATTTCCTGGGGCCAGTGCTGAACTCTCCAGCACGCCAACTGGACCCGCCAGTCCCAAGTGTCCCTCTTTGTCAGGCGTCTTTGCCACACCTCACTGCACAGGACGACACCAAGCGTCCCTCTTTAGCCGCCACTCCCCGGGTGGCTCTGAGAGTCCCTCTTGGCAAAACCCTTCTCTGCTGACCTGGTCTAACTGAGAAGGGTGACATGGCTACACAGGCAGCAGCAGCATGAATTGAAGAGTTCTGGTCACAACTGCCAAGGTCACACGCTCTAGAAGGCTCTGGACCTAGAGGTGAGATGTGGGCAGCGTGGGCAGCATGAGGGTGCCACAGCCCGTGCTGCCCCAGGCACTTGGCTGCCCCGAAGGATGTCTGGCAAGGCTTCAGAGCCCTGGTAACACACCCAGACAGCTTCTGCTGAAGCCAGAGAAAGCACTCCACAGGGTGCCCTGGAGCACCCTCCATTCCCTGCATGTACTGGGGATGGGCACAGGGTCAGCCGGGCAGCCGTGCCCTGAAGCGAGTCAGGAGGGTGGTGGACAAGGAAACAGGCTGGCTCCTCCAGGAGCCCTGGGACGCTGGGATCGTCGGGGAGCACGTACTCGGCTGCAAACTTGTCCAGCCTCTGGAAGAGCTCGTTCTTCACCTTCAGGTTTTCCACAATGGCCTCCACCACCAGGTCGGTGCTGTGCACCACGGCCGCTGCGTCTGTGCTGGTTGATATGCCGCTTAGGGTCTTCGCCACGAACTCATCAGCAGCCTGGTTCAGGGCGAGAAGGGACAGTCACCGCAGGCCCTCTGTGGCGCAGGAGACCTGGCCTGCACACACCCAGGGCACTAGGAATCAAACCCCTGCCTTCCCGCTTGGCAGCAGCGGTGTCTCCTATCCCATCGGATTGGCCACCTGTTATGGTTTGTGTCTGGATAAGCCCCAAAGTCTCATGCGGTCACAGGGCTTTTTCGGAAGTGGCTGGATCTTGAGCTAGTGTGTGACTGGTGGTGCAGTGCTGGGACTAAGGGTGTGGCTACTACACCCGCCCTCAGGCAGGCAGCCTGCATACAACAGAAAGGACACAAAGTCTTGTGCTTGTTGCTCTTGCCGTCTTCCTCTGCCACAAATGCTTGCCCCTCTGCCATGTGCCACCCTACCTTGGAGCCAGCCCATTATGGACTGAAACCTCTGCAAACTGTGAGTCAAATAAACCTTTCCTCCTTTTACTTTGTGTTTTGGGTATTTTGTCAGCAATGAGAAAAAGTAACTAAGGCACTGCCCATCTCCTGAGCTGTATGTTCATAGCACCCCAACTGGCCCTGAACAAGGTGTGATCAAAATTCACTGTGCATTTAAATTAAACATATTACAGTAAAAGACACATTGCTATAAATCCCCCTCAAAGTCCTCCCACCACCCCAGCTTCTAACACACTTATCCCATGGTCCCTGACACTTCTGCAGCAGCTCTGGAGTCCTCTTTCCTGAGTGTCTTTAGCTGTACTGTCATGGCTGCCTCCATGTCCGAAACTGATTCAAAACACTGACCTTTCATGTTTTGACTTTGAAGAAGAGCCAGAAGTTGCTTGCTACCAGATCAGGTGAATGCAGGCACACTGCTGCATTTTCACAAGCCTGCTCTTCCTTTGATGGCATCAGCAACAGCTTTCAGTGTATTTTTGAAACCACCTTGTAAAGATACTCAGGAAAGAGGATTTTCAGAGCTGCTTCAACAAGTGCCAAGGATGGGATGAGTGCTCGAAGCGAGGACTCTGAGGGGTTCATGGTGTGCATCTTCTCCTCTAACTGACTGCCTGCTTCTGCTCCTGGAAGTGGGGTGCCTCGTACTGGATGCCCTGCTTCCTCACAAGGCAGGATCAGATACTACCTGGGCACCCAAAGTTCTTATCTAAATATGATGCTCATCTTACCGTTTTGTAAGGTGACAGTACTGCTTAGCAGGAACTTGTGCAAATTACACAAGTCTCTTCCTTTGTCTCCCTCTCCTATCCTTTTGGCAAATCAGTGTCCCTCGACCCTAAGCTCTCAGTGCCCTTGTGGAACAGATTCATTGCCTGCAGAAACTGTCTCCTTGACCTCACGTCCTTTATTTCTTTTTCCTAATCACCCTCTGGCTTTAGTGACACCATTACTGTATCAGTCTGCAGTCACAGAGAAATGAGTTTCCCAACTGCAAACCCACACACATGCACAGGGTAAACTAAAGCCAGACACCTGCAGAAGCGTGAGTGGTCAGAGGACTGGCTGTAGGAACACTGGGAGCAGAACCTACCTTGGGGTTTTCTGCAAACTTCTTCTTTGCCACCTTCCTCAAGCTGTCCTCGATCCCCTTTCTGGACTTGGCCAGGATGTCCTCGGTTTGGTCCACCAGCACCACTGTGTGGCCAGTGGCCGCAGCAACCTAGAGCAAAAGAATAAGTAATTTCTATGTAAAAGGGAGAAAATAAAGGTAAAAAGAAAACAGTCTCATTCTACATGAATTCTACCACCATTCCAGTCAGAACGATGAATGTAAAAAATAAGTTAACATTAAACACACACTTCCTGCTAAGCAGTACTGTCACCCTGACGTGGAAGAAAGCAGCCCTCACAGCACCTCAAGCAGGTAAGGACATCTCCATGGTCACACAACAGGCATACGGTGGAGCCACGGCAGGCACAGTGCAGTACCCTTCCCTGAGCGACTCTGACACAGCTCTAAGCCCAAGCCATCCACCACAGCAGCTTCTGCCACAGAGGCTGCTCAGCAAAGGGACTTGGAAGCCAGCCCCTCCTCCACGCAGCCAGCCTCCACTCCAAGGACTTGCAGCCATGCACCTTTCCCGGTCCCTGAGCACCAAGAGGCTACCGTATGGCCCAGCTCCTTCGCCATCCTCAATCGGAAGCAGAGACATTTCACAATGGCAGCAAAAAGACCCTGTCTCCACGGTCTGTTAGCCATGTGAAGTCTGGTGGCCCCCATTTGGGACAGGCCACTCCCTCCTTCCCCAGCCACCTCAATAGGGGAGGACCTGAGGACACGTCTGTGCGGGGAGGCTGCCCAAGTGCACCACAGCCAGCCTGGGCCTGCAGTTGGTGACAGGTTGGTCCCTATTTCACCACAGTTCACTGGCAGTTCCAGCGAGGACCACAGGGTAGGTCATGTGCTCAAACAGGCCCCACCCCACGGACAAGTGTGTGTGAGCTGGTTTAAGCCAATGCCAGAGGACACTGGGGCCTACTACAACCTGGTCAAGAGGCCGGCCCCACCAGGGAGTGCAGAACCCACTGGGCACCAGTCTCAGCAGCTGCCAGCCCAGAGAAGGATGGGCAGGGAAGCAAGTGTGAGCTCAGACTAAGATTAAGGTTGGTAGGCTGATTCATCTGGCTGAGGAAATTTTCAAGACCGGCCAACATTCCAGCTATGGCACGGGTATACTGCTAGTGCTTTGAGTTTTATTTATAGAGTTCGAGGCAAAAACCTGAGCACAAAAATTGGAAAAACTTAAATTTGGGCCCAAAGGGAACCACATGTAAAGTTAGGACAAAAAGAGATATGGCTGCTGGACAGATTAGTGCTATTTAAAAAATTAGTGTTGTTTAAATGAAACCAACTGTTTGGTACAAGAACAGGAAGGGCTTTGACGACATCTCAGAAATCAGCAAGACTCCACCCCCATCACAAGTTCAAGGATGTGAAAGTGTAAACCTTTTAAGACTACCTGAGACCTCTGCTTAAGAAGGGCCTCCTATAGAATTGTTTCTCTGGGATTCATTTCATTACGCTCAGCTTCCAGACACTCAGACGCCACTGCAGCTATGGCCCAACTGGACCTGGTTCCTACCCACACTGGTGGCCACCTTGCACCACCCACATGATGCTGCCTTTAAAGGTAGGCAGAGCTCACAAGTTTGAGGTCATGAGGTCAGGGAGGCTTCCACCCAGATTTCAAAGGCAGGCTTTGGAGGCAAGGGAATGTGCCCAAGACAGCACTGTGTGAAGCTGTGGGGAGGGAGCCAAAGCTTCAGTGAGGTCCCCAGGAAGCTGGAGATGGTACAAACATATCAGCCAAGAAAGCTGCATGCCCTGAGCAGTGCAACCCAAGAAACAGAACCTGTGGGCGGCAACCAGCAAGGCCACAGAGGTGGGTGGGGCCAAGCACTTTGGAACTCACACCTCACCAACATTTGACCTAGATATCAGATATGGAGCTACAGGACCTGATGTTGGCCCTGTTTGGTTTCCATTTTGCTTTGGTCTGATTCTTTTCTATCCCACATTCCTCCTTTTTAGAATGGGAATGTTTACCCATTCTACCTTGGGATCATTGTTTTAGATTTTTATAGATGTTTCACAACTAAAAGTTTGCCTAAAGACTTTGGGGAAGGGATTATCGCATTTTCAGTTGTACATGAGATATGTGTCATGTTTAGCAGAACTATTAACTTACTGTATTGTTTATTTGAAGAATAAGTATTGTTTAAGGAAATGTGTTTGGAGGCAGATTGACAGGGGTGGAATGTAGTAGTTAAGTTTAACTGTGACAAGTTGACTGGCTCGGGAGTTGCCTAGGGAATTAATAAAGCATACTTCTGGGTAAGTGTAGGTAGGTCATGGAGGTATACCTTTGGGGGCTGTATCTGGTCCCCGGTACCTTCTTTTCTGGAGCTGTTCCCTTGATCTACTTCCCAGCCACAATCAACTAAGCAGCTTTGCTCCATCATACCCTTATGCCATGATGTCTTTGCCTTGGAGCCAGGTGACCATGGACTGAATCCCCTGAAACTCTGAGCCAAATAACCCGCTTCTTAAATTGTGCCAGGTATTGTGTCTCAGCAATGGGAAAACTGGCTACTACAGTATGTCACTAATGTGTAAAATGTATGTGTAAAATTGTCTATTTTAGCATTTACTATCACAAAATTTTAAAAAAATTTTATACAAAGTTAAAATTATAAAAACTTAAACCCAAGAATGCAGATCATACATGGCACCATTTGCAGTTAAGAGAAATGTAAAAACTAAGAAGTAGTATTAAATCATAACTGCAGTGTTGACTGCCCTGAGCACTGACTTTCTGCAACTAAGTTGAGAGCAGCAACACAGGCCCAATGAAGATAACATGGGCTACCAGGTGACCTGTGACATGGCCCAAGGAGGAGGGCCAGCCACCACATTCCAGGTGGATGGACGTAAGCTGGACAGCTGGCCTCAGCAAGAATGTGCCCAACAAGTTCTGGGTGCAGACCAGGGTGAACAAGGGCATCGGGTCAGCGTATGAGGGCATCATCACCATTGAGTTCTGGATGGAAGCCCCTTCCCCCCGGTGAACAGCCAGCCCAGACTCTTCCAGCCTCCACTGCAAGGCACATACAGCAGTATCATGACCAGCCAGAGCAGCAGCTCAGAGCCGTTGCTAGTGGATGGACTCTAGTACCTGGAGGTAGATGGCTCCCTCACCCAGGATATGACCGAGGAGTTTCTGAGCCAGACACCACCAGTAGAACCTTCAGCACCCACGACCAACAGTTCTTCCAAAGCTGACCTGCAATCTCATTAATGTCCAGAAACCTGGGCCCCTCCCCACCTTCTCAGTCAACTCCTCAGGTACCATCCTTAAGACCCCTGCCCAGCCTATGTACATGCTGGCCACAGAGCAGGGGTAGGTGTTCTATGGGAGGCACGAAAGGGACAGAGGCCCCAGAAGGCTCTTGAGGCTGTCCCTCCTGGCTCCTGGCCCAGACCCATTTGTAACCAGAGCTGGGACAGGCACAAGGCCCCAGCATTTGTTCTGTACTTAATAAAAGACTATGTTACTGTTCAAAAAAAATTGTAACTGCATAAAATTAAGTAATAACTGCACAGCATCCTGGTGCTAATGCACTGGGCTTGAGTACCCCAAGCATTTGCTTAAAGCACTATGTCCATTAACTCTTCTCTGTGTGAGCTGCTCATTTCTCCAGTAAACTATGTGCTACAGTGAAAGTAATGTTTGGCCCTACTTGTAGTTTTCACTGCATGTAATACATACAACATATAAAATGTGTTCATCAGTTGCTTATATAATTAGGCTTCTGGCACATAGCAAGTTACCAGTAATTAAGTTTTTGCAGTCAAAATCTGTACATGAAATTTCAATAGAGTAGGGGCTGGGGTCTATCGACTCCACTGTTCAATGCCATTCACTCTGCCTCTGATCTTATACAAAGTGTGATAAAAAAAAACACAGTAAACATTTAAATTTATAAAGAATTTACTATACTAAAAGACATATTGCTATCAATCCCCTCAAAATACTCCCCTTATTTCGAATATACCCCTCACTCTTACTGCTCTCTGAAGCAGTTGTGGAAGTTCTCTTCATCACTTTCTTGCTGCTGGGACAAAATACCCAACACTCACAACTTAAAGGAGGAAAGGTTTATCTGGCTCACAGTTTGTGGAGGTTTCGGTCCATGGGTGGCTGGCTCCAAGGCAGGGTGGTGTGGCACAGGGGTATCACAGACGAGAAAGAGCTCATGGCATGGCAGGCAGGAAGCAGAGCAAAGATCAAGGGAGGAGGAGAAGGGAGATATATGTATATATTCCCCTTTTCCCACCGGGCTTCACCTCCCAACACCATACCCAGCTATAAAGCCATCAGCGGACTAACCCAGTACCACACACCCATGACCCAGTACCACACACCCATGGTCCAGTCACCTCCCCAAACCCCCACCTTCATCTTCTCAGCTTCTGCACAAACGGATCTTTTAAGATTCTGCTTTCAATATTGTTTTCTTCTGGCTCCATAGCCTTTCCTTCTGAAATCCTAGGCATTCCCAGAACTCCAAATGCGCATGAAGGTAGCGTGCTCCAACCTAAGCAACAGTCATTATCTCAACCCTAATTCCAGTTCTCCTTGACCTTCATGAATGCTGCCACTACTGTGCAGATCTCAATCTGCTGCACACCACTTCTGCCTTAACTCAGGTTTTAACTGCTGTCCACAAGAGTTCTACTCATTACCTGAAGTCCACTGCATTCCAGAGCCTCTTCACACAGACTTTTACCTGGTGAATGTCCTTTTTCTGCTTTGAAACCTCAGAGCATGATTTTTAGTTTCCCTTTGGCTACTTCACACCCAAGTAAACGATGTCATTTGGGTTTTTGACCAGTTTCTGCTGTTAGACTTCAAATCCCCTCATGGCAAAGACTTGGGCTTTGTAGCCTCAGGGGGGCTACCCAGTAACTGCAGCATGGGGACCTGAGCCTGTCCTCTTCCCAGACACACCTGTCCCCCGCACGTCTCGCCCAGTGGCTTTTCCCTCTCTGCCACCTGTGGGACTCCAGCTCATGCTTCGTAATCCAATACATCTCTCCCTCAGTCAAAAACTTCTCGCAACCCCTCACAGAAAGTGTCAGCCCTCTATACCTCTACT